GGGGGAAGTCAGCCAAGATCTCATCAACAGAAACGCTTTAATGCTTTTTGCTTTGGGTAATTAGAGTCTTAATTGGGGATGGAGTCTCTTTGGGAGCTTTTTCCCTCCTAAAGTTTGGGGGGAAAAAAATGAACCCTTTTAGTTTTCATTCTAAATGTGTGATAGCACAGACTTCAAGCCTACATGAGGTTTGCGTGAAACTTAAATAGCAACCCCTTGACAGCGTGAAATAGCTGAAGTGTTTGCCAGAGACAGACTGTGGACACGTCCTATGTAGAATATCCTTAATCGCAATGCCCTCAGAAACCTTCCAGGTTTATAAAAGAAGCATCAGGACACAAAAATGATCAGGAAAGAAAAAGAGGTGTAAGGAGTTAAACATGACACAAGGTGCTCTTCCCAACTCCTCTGTACCCTTTCTCTATCCCTATCTGAATATTTTAAATGTTTAAAGTAATATTTTCCTGTTTCTTGATTTAAGAATCTGGTTAAGATCTGGGTTCGGAGTCATTTGATGTTGGGTTACATTCAAATGTCGGGAGTTTCAGCCACGTATGGAGAAACACCAGTGTTGCTCTCTCCAAGTTTTTGCTGTCTTTGCACCAGTGAAGACAACAGGAACCCATGTGAGCCTATCAGATGGCTCTATTTCTCCTTACAATGGGATCATAGACAATATACTTCAAAAAGATCCACCTTCCTGATAAGATTTCAAAAGTCCTTTGCCATCTCCCAGGCATGATTGTTAGTAAATATGTGATGGGAGAAGGGGGAGGGCCATGAAGGCTCTGACATTTACCCCGAAACCTGATGACCAGTGGCCTTGGTCACTCACTGGCTAGGATCAGCAAAATGCTACATCTCCTTAGTATTCTGATCCAGTAGAACTCACTTTGCATCCATTTAGCAGGTTACTTCCTGCTAAAGCTGTCTTGCCCCTAAGTTTTACATTCTGAAGGAGACACTCAGCCAGGTCTATGCATGTGTGGCTGCAGTAACAAACACCCTTTACTAACAGTGCTTTTGTGAGCTACATTAATAAAGTTATCATAGCATGTCCTGGATGGATAACCTGACAACAAAGCTAGAGTTTTTTTAATTTATTTTTTTGTGTGTTTTGTTTTGCTTTTTAAATTAATTTTGGAGATTTTTCTGCTTACTTTAAAAAAGAAAGAGGAGAAAAGAAATCCCAAGTTTCCCTTTTTTTTTCTGTCAGATCTACAATTTGACATGCACCATGTGATACCTTCAGCTATTTCAGAATTCTCACATTCAGTTTCTAGAAAGAAAGAACAGATATGTCAGGTTGCAGGTTTTGTGTTGTATGATGAATATTGAATGTTTTTTACTTACAATTTGGTCTTTGATTGTTTTCCTTTGATTCTTACAATCAAATTAAACTTTGCCTAATACCTTGCATGAGACTTCTGAGCTGTGCAGTGCTTTCCTTGAACCTGCTGTTTGATCCCTTTGCCATGCGAGTTCTCCTTGGAGATGAGCTAAACTTATTCGAGACCTTGAGTCTGAGTCTCCATCCTCCCACCACACCTGTTTGTTAGCTTCCAGTAGACACCTTACCTTCTTTTGAAACTTGGGCAGATCTGCTGAAATTAAAGCAATAATGGGCACTGTCCCCCACCATTGACTCCTCAGGTCTAAATTATATTGGAAGTTCCACCTCAAGTAGTTTCATGGTCTGCCATGTTAATTTTGCCACCTTCCTGAAAGGTGGCTTCACATTTTTATTTTTCCCAGAAACACTAATTCTCAAAATAGATGCATATGAATAAAAACATTGAAACTTGATATCTGATGACCTGGAAATCCCATGTTGGACCTCAAAGCCAATTTCTACCTTTCTCTAGAAGCTAGTAGTGACATGGAGTATCTCCAAGCACTCTTCAAATACCCTTTTCCTGGTGATGCAGATTGTGGATGTATACTAACTGTTGATGAGAAAGGAAATGATGAAAGGAAAAGGGGCTGAGGATTGATTTGAACTTGGCTTTGGGTCAGCATCCTCCGTCTGAACGAGTACTAAGTTCTCATATTCCTTTTGGGGGCCTTTTGGGAGGCAGGAGGAGGATTTTGGAGCTAATGAGCCTGCTGGGCCCTCCCCTGAAAGCACATGAGATGGGCCGATTGAGCAGAGGTCCCATCATGAAAGGAAGTGTCAAGGTTGGATGCTTTCTTGGCTCATCTCTCGTAATTATGCCCCTTTTCTACAGCTTTCATCATTCTGAATAGAAGGCAGAAAGTGCTGGTCCATTAGTGATTTCAGATTGAATTTGGGGTATAGGAGACTCTTTCCCTCACCAGAAAGCCAGGGATTATTTTTCTAAATGGTGAAAGAACAAAACATTGGCAGCAGCTTATACAACAGCTGGTAAAAAACGAAGTGACTCTGTGAAAAGCATCCCCCCCTCCCCCGCCCTTCTCTGGGCCTCACATTTGTGGTCCCTAAATAAGCCAACAGTAAGCTATTTGGGGCTCTCGAGTCTCTTTGAAGTTGCCAGAGAGCCCAGATTGTGCAATTGTTGTAGGAGGGAGACAAGGGTTTTTCCCTTGGAATCGGGGAATAGCTACAGCCGTGAACTCTGGTTCAAGGCATGGCCTCAGAGCTAGGCACCTAGTATTGCCAATGTTTTGACCGTCGGCACAGAGCTCTCCTTTAATAACATTTGCTTAATGCTTTAATTAATTAACACTTAACCTTCTCTTTCCCTTTTCAACCCTTTTTCTCCTCCCTTCACTATATTCCCACGTAACTTAAAAAAAAACAAAACTTAAAACTCAATATCAAAGCAGGCAATGCATGTGTGGCTATGCCTCACAAAATAGGTCGGATTATTGAGGGGAGCCCTGCTGACCGCTGTGGCAAGCTGAAAGTAGGAGACCGGATCTTGGCAGTAAATGGATGTTCCATCACCAACAAATCCCATTCAGACATTGTCAACCTAATCAAGGAAGCAGGAAACACAGTTACCCTCCGCATCATTCCTGGGGATGGTAAAGTATACCTCTTATCTCTCTCCCTCTCTCTCATGTTCTCTCTCTCTCTCTCTCTCTCTTTCTCTCTCTCTCTCTCTCATTAATGCTCATGTAATTGAATAGTTTTGACTTAGAGGCAGCTTTGTCAGTCCCTAACTGAACATACCCATCAAACCAACATAGCCATTGTTACTAAACCACATCTCACCCTCATCTAATTCATCCCATCGCCCTGGGATCCTATCTTGCTATAGATAGAACTCCAGAAAGCCTCCAGTGTGCCCCTTCAAAACTATACAGAAAACTGTAAGTTTTCATGCAAGTAGTAAAGATTACCTGATGTTCTATCTGGAACTCATGAATGCCCTTTTCAAATCATCACTGAAATTTAATAGTAGAATATGGCAACTTCTCAAAACCTACCTAACAGGAGTGCAGAGCCAGTTCTATGCTCTTCCACAATAAGTGAATGTATCAAAATTTTTATTTAATGAGAAAATCTTAGTGTTTATGCCTACTTGATTTGTCCTAATTTTGGGGGGGAGGTGGGTACTGGATATTGAACTCAGAGGCACTTGGCCACTGAGCCACATCCCCAGCTCTATTTTATTTAGAGACAGGGTCTCAATGAGTTGCTTAGTACCTGGCTTCTACTGAGGCTGGCTTTGAACTCACAGTCCTCCTCCTTCAGCCTCCAGAGCTGCTGGGATTACAGGTGTGTGCCATTACTTGTAGCCCAAATTTTTACATGTAGATGAAGAAAAAAATTAAACATCTTCATTTTTCATAGATTATATTTACATTAAATTAGAACTATTCTTTTATGCCTATTTGCTTGACTCATTAAAGTCAAATCCTTGGTTTTTCCCTACCCCACCTGCTGCCAGAACACCAGGACATTTGCCAATGTTGGCAGTGGCACTTAGTGGGTGCAGACTAGAGATGTTCTCAAATGTCCTAAAGTACACAAAAGAGCCTCCATAATAATAACCCAGTGCAAAAATATCAGTGTTTGTCTTCTTACTCATATTTTGTAAACATGAAGTTGATAACACTAATATCAGTAAGTATAGATTGCTTTGGCACTTAAATCCTGAATAATTGATTGATAAATAATTGATCCTACACCAACCTAGCCTTTGGGACAAAAGTTATAACTTGCTACAAAATGTTTAATTGCCGTTTTTCATTCTTTCCATACATGCTATAAAATAAAATACATATTCTAAAAGCCACCGAGTATTTCTCAAGAGAGAAATGTGGTTTATATAGATAGTGCTGTAAAAACATGCTATGCCATAGATCCAATAAAGTAAGAAAATCAAACATTTTATCTGGAAGTCATTCACCAAATAAGTATTTTTATATAGTAATTATGAGAAAGTGAGTTTTTTGGTTCATGTTTTGATTGATGTAGCTAGTGATTTTCAGAACAAGTAAGTGCAAAATTAAACAGTAAATATTTGAAATTTTTTCATTCTAAGAACAGAAAACTTTCTTTGTGCCAAAAATATCCCATACCAATTGGAGAGAAAGAAAATAGTTCCTTGAATGGTGGTCTTCCTCACCCTCTTTCCGATCATGGTTAGTAATTTACCATCTGGTCTGAAGTCCATTCCACCAAATTACCACTCTGGAAAGCTATTACAGTTTACAAAAGTGAGCACATGATGATAAAATGTGGAAACATAGATTCTTAATGGAAAGGATAAATGAAACCAGAAAAATGGAGTGAGGAATGGTTCAGAGACCCAAGACATGTTTATTTCATACTATAGAGAGATTGCAAAAAATAATCCAGAAGAATGGGAAACAGGAATTGACTTGCCGGTTCTGTACTGGTTTGTTTTAATATGGGAATGAGAATGTCTCAGAAAAGAAGGAAAGAAAGCTCTCCTTGCAGGAAGGGCATAGAGAAAGAGTTTGAAATCAGAAAAGACAAACCTATGCAAAAGCAACTTATACTACACTGCACATACTAGGTGTTGAGTTAGTGAAGTAGACTCACAGTATTTTTGAAAACCTGAAACCCCCAAAATATAATGCACTGTGGATTGCCCCTAACAGTTGGCAATAAAAAGGAATTCTTAAAACTTCAGTGCTTATAAAATTCAGGCAGATCTCTTGTGCTCCTTAGAAGATAATATAATAAAGTAGTGAAGGATTGATATCTTTAAAGATGGCCCATGATCTGCTGAGGTTGATCTCATCTAAATTGTTTCTAAAATGTTCTATCATTGTTGCCATGATAATAAAAGTTTTTGCCAGTGACTTTGTAAGTATTAAGATCTAAGTAAAGGGAATCACTTCTATCAGAAGGTGAAGTGCAATGCTCATCTTTAAGGGGCCATCTTGGAAATTAGAGCAGAGGCAGGGGAGTTAGATTTCTGGGGGAATTAGATAGCATTCCAGGAGAATGTCTCAAACACCTACAAGAAGTAGACTGACCATGACAGTGTGATGAAGAGAAAATCTTGCTTGATCTACTTCCTCTGTGTGCAAGTTAGACATGGCTGACTGTGGAGGTATAGGGAGGTGCTCTCTGGTCTCCTTCAGATCTTTCATTCTGATATTTACCTCATCAAGTAGCCCAAAGACCAGTTGTTTCATGGTATCTACAAGGAATTTGAAGTTTTTAGCTAGCATGGTTCTAAGAGATCTATCACGTCTGAAATACAGTTCTTAGAAACTCCAGGAGGCACTTCGAGAAGATTCCCCCTCATTTGGACAGTGCTCAGAAACCCTCTGAATCCACTATTTTTGGTACCAGGGATTGAACTCAGGGGCAATCAGCCACTGAGCCCCATCCCCAGCCCTATTTTTTGTATTGTATTTAGAGACAGAGTCTCACTGAGTTGCTTAGAGCCTTGTTTTTACAGAGGCTGGCCTTGAACTTGCCTCAGCCTCCTGAGCCACTGGGATTACACATGTGCGCCACATGCCTGGCTGAATCCACTTCTTTAACTCATGCTACCCAAGTCTGTTTTCTTGTCATCAAATTCCTCATTCTTTTTCCAGTTTCCCTTATCTCAGACTTTAGTTTCCCTAACTTGCTTCTCCCATTTCTCTTACCTCTCTAACAAAACTCCAAAATATAACTCCCTTTTATTTGGCATGTCTATGCTGTTAGAAGGTTTACCTCCACAGATCTTAGGCTGTGACCAGGGAGTCTATACTTCTCTGTTGTTTATGAATTTGGGGTCAGGGTGGGAGGTTGAGTTAGGGGAGAACCTTTTCTTCTGTGAGATATGGGCAAGGGATAGTAAATACACAACAGCCACACAGAAAGGCCTAAGTAGCTGAACAGATTGAATCTGAACTAGATCTCCAACAAGTCAGACCACACTTGGATCATACAGAAATGCCCATGTAGTCTTATTCTGAGTGGGAAGAAGAGTAATCAGAGCAGAGCCTGAACCAAACTAATGTGGAATCATGTTCAAGATAATGAGAATATCTAAGAGCTTTATATATATATAAAATTTGAATTGTGGTCTTGAATTTCTTCTTCAGTTCACCTGATTCAGAGTGTTTGCTTTTAGAGGAGACAAGCTGGCAACACAGATATTGCTATTTCCTTGGCAAAGGTATAGATAGTAAAAAGTCCTCCCTGAACTTTCCACATATTTGTGGGGTTCAGATTTTCCAATGTCGCCTTCAGTATTTATGACACATATGTTTACACAATCAAATATTTATGAAAGAAATGGTCATGTTCTTTGTTGATTTGCTTAGCTTTTCATGTGGATTCCGGAAGGAAGGGTAAGAACATTGACATAGGAACAAGGCTAGACTCATAATCACTTGTCACAGAGATAGGCTGAAACCCAAGGTAGAAGCTCCTGACAGAAGAGTGAGGGCCCTGATTTCCAACAGCCTCATGACATGCTTAAGAGCTGTTTTTCTTGATACATGATTGCTATGGAAAGTATATTAATATCCATTTTCATTCCTCTGGGAGAGCTAAAGTAGGTATAAACTCTGTTTAATAAAGAATGTGGGAGGCACTTTCTGGAATATCCATAAAAATATCCAATAGGTCCATCTGCCTTAGTCTTTTAAAAGTCAAATACATTGACACTCCTTTATAATATCGATGCTGGAGGGTGAGGAGGCTAGACTCTTTTTCAGGCTCTTTTATGTTTTTTTTTTTTTTCCTATTATACAGGGCAAGTTTTGCTTTGGGGATAGAGCTATAAATTTTTGATAATGGACCTCATCTCTATATTTTAAAAAGTTAGAGAACATTTCAGCAGATACAGTTTTGGTTTAATTCCAAATGAAGACTTAAAAGTTTATGAAAACAAGTCTAACTTTATTGATATTATAAAAGCACCCTGGAAATCAAGGCCATGCTAAAATTTTTTTTGTCCTCTGAAAATAACCCATGAAATTCAGTAGTCCAAGCAGGGCATTGTGTATTTTGGTTAATCTAGGATACTGCCTAGAGAAATTGGTAGCAGTTATGCAGTAAAATGAAAACATTGCTTACATGAACGGAGGTGTCAATCAGGTATGATTTTCTGGATACCAACACAGATCCCCATGTGACCAGTAAGACTAAAAGCACACTTTCAGGCAAGCCCGAGTTTGATTCCCACTACTTGTCCTGGGTGATCCTGGGCAGTTTCCTACCTTTCCTATGCCCCAGCCTCTCCGTCTGTAAACGGGGCAATAACTTGCACTTGTTTTATGAAGTGGTGGCCATCAATCGAAGTAGCACACATGGTCGTAGTCCCAGTACAGTGCTTGCTTGGCACTGTGTACATGGTCTTGTAAATGGTGGTTATTCATAGATTTTAAAAAATGCAAAATAAGGAAAAGTCCGTGAGCTCAAATAGGCATTTGCATATTAAGCATTAATTTCTTTAAAATGCTCAAAGTGAAGCTGCAACCCTAAAAAAGATTTGCATGCAAATATAATTGGGGAAAACAGCAAATGAAGGATAAGAGGAAAATTAATAAGGACATTCTGTTTATATGTGTTTTGAGTGATTATCTGTTATATCTCATTAAATCATGAAAGCAGCAGAAACATGAAAAATCGTTTGAGAATAGGATTCCATCTTCCTGGAATATTCCGACTACCAAGAACACACAATAACTCCAAATGGGAACTTATTCACAATTCAGTAATTCTAATCACTTTAATTACAAAGAAACGTTCTTTTTTGGTACCCTGATTGTGATTTCCCCATGGCCCAAATGATCTTATGATTTCCCAGAGAATCTTTATAAAATGAGTTACAATGAGCTGTATGAGGTTAGCTAAAGGACCAGAGTTTATGGGAGCTCTGGTGAGTGTCACTGACAGTCTGTGTGTCCTGTGTACTGACCCGGTGGATGACTTGTATGAAATATCACTTAGATTCATCGGTTTTGCCAGTTAACTGTGCTTGAATGGGAGTGATATGAAGGTACTAATGACCTTCCAAATGCTCTAAAAAAACCATTTACAATAGTAATCCTAAAAATGTACCAGTAATATGCTTTTAATATTATAATAATACATACTAAAAGTATGCTAATAATTTTTTGAGCACTAATGTGTCTGGCACTGTCCCTAACAGTTCCTCTTAGATCATCACTGTACCACTTTCCTTAGATACTTCTGTCATTCTCCTGTGCAGATGAGGAAACTGAGACACTGAAAGTTGAAATGGCTTTGCTCTCGTCCTGTCTAGTGCAGCCTACTATGCAAAGCGAGGCAGTCTGACTCAGAATCTGACCCTTGTAACCATTTGGCTAACCTGCCTCCCAGTAAGCTTGAGGCACAGCCTTTGCCTGACCCAAGGGTCTCAAGTCACACTAGCCCAGTCAATGCTCTGAAGAGTCCTTAGGAACAAGCAACCAGACATCTGTGTCCCCTTTGTTTCACCCTTTAGTTCCCAGACTTAGTGGATCACAGGTTCTTTTCCTTCAGAATCTGTAGAAACATTTGTAGAACACATTGTGAGAAACATTGTCCTAAAACACGAATAAGATTTATAAAACTATGCTTTCTACTTACATTATCTTATTCATCTTGGGCATGGCTATAAGAATCAGGGACTTTTATGGCTGGCATATAAACTGTTAAAATCCTCCTTAACCTTCTCTTGCTGCAGAGAGTTTCCCTAACTTAAAGATGCCCCCACAGTAGTGTAGTGAATGTGTTGAGTGCGAGCTGTGGTCTAGCACTGATGCTGTGCGTCTCGCATCCTTTCATCCTGAGAGGGACAGATCGATCGGCAGCATTCCCTCGTCCTGGGTGAGAAGAGCCAGGCACACCATTAATGGGTGGAGAAAGAGGGATTTGAATTCTGTGTGAATCTCAAACACATACTTTTAACCCCTGTGTGTCATGAAAGTAAAGTAACAGGACACCAGACCCGAATTGAACAGTGTTCTCAGGAAATTAAAATGGAAGAGAGACCACCAGCCATTGAGTGCATAGAAGGTCTCTTATCCCAGGACTGTAGGGGGGCAAGGGGTGAAGAGGGGAGTGGAAGGGAGGTGGGGGGGGGAGAGAGAGAGAGAGAGAGAGAGAGAGAGAGAGAGAGAGATTGATTGATTACAGGCTTCTTAGTTTGAAGTACTTAAATATTATCCCATAGAAACCTCCTTATACCCAATGTAGTCAACAAACATCGAAGTACTAGGAAGCATAGAACTCAGGGAATCTTCTAGACCTCATGGTTCACTATTAATTAAATGGGTACTTGCAGGCTAATTTTAGAACCTAACAACCACAGTTAGTATTTTCTTTTCTTTCTTTCTTTTCTTTCTTCTATTTTTTTTGTTTATTTTCATGTGGTGCTGAGGATCAAACCCAGTGCCTCACGCATGCTAGGCAAGCGCTCTACCACTGAGTTACAGCCCCAGCCCCTAGTATTTTCTTGATGAGAAAATAAAAGCCAAGTTCCTGAGAGTCTACTTAAGAATAAATATTAAATGTATGGCTCGCTCCTAGTGGTTGCTACTTGCCTTGATTTTAATGGAGAAATTATCAGCAAAAAAGCATATATCTGTTACCATACGAATGATTAAATTTTAATACATACACATGGATGTGTTATCTATAGTTTTTGTTTTTTTATGATTTTTTTTTCAGATTCTGAGTCTCCAAACTTGTAGAGATTATGAAGTTGCTTATGAATGTGATGAGTGAAGAAGAAAGTCAATTTACACAGGAACATAATCCTATTCCTTACTTTAAAGCAGCTTCATGATTTATACAACTTATGTTTATAACTCTGGTTCTTCTAATGCAGGTTTTAAAATTAATTTTTCATGAGTGATACTAGATGGAGATCTGTCAAGAGTTCCATATTTTCACTTGTGCTTTATGAAAAGCAATGAGGAAGAAAGGAGATGTTATTTGTGTTTAAAAATATGTTAGCTCACTTCTGAATTTAATATTCACATGAGGAAATCAGGCATACTCACCAAATGCTGCTGATAAGTTGCAGGAAAATGTTAGCAGGGACATTTATTAGCAGCCTGTAAAATCCTGAGAAATACCTCAGGGGCGGCTCAGTGTTTTGATGGATTGCCGTCTCTCAGTGTCGGGGAGGAGTCGGACACACCCATGCTGGCTGTAATTTTAGAGCAGCTTTTCCCCTGGCAAACCCTATTTCATTTGAGGGAATGTCTGCTTAGGAGGAGGGTCACAGTGGGGGGCATACATGAGCCACAGCAGATCTTAGGATGGTTCATTAAATTCCTGAGTCTTTAGAAATTTGAGTCCAACTAATTGAAATGGGGACAGGGAAGTCAGATTTGTCACTTAGAGACAGGGTTTCTGCTCACCTCCCAGCTGGATGATGTCTTCTCTCAGGCCTTCATTTCTTTATGCTCTGTCCCACAGAGTCCTCAAATGCCACCTTGCTGACCAATGCAGAAAAGATTGCCACCATCACCACCACACACACCCCTTCTCAGCAGGGGGCCCAGGAGACAAGGTCAGCTGAGACTTTGGTTCCTTTTGTTACTTTAAAGGGGAAAAAGGGACCTGTCCTCTCGTCATGATGAGGCATGTTTTCCGTCCTTTTCTCTGTCTCACCCTGCATTGCTGTTATATTTATTTCTCTCACTTTGGCAGGAACACCGCCAAACCAAAGCCGGAATCTCAGTTCGAGTTCAAAGCTCCCCAGGCTACCCAGGTGAGGGTCCTTTCCCATTTTTTTTTTTTTGTTTCTTTTTTTTTTTGCTCATTTCTTTCCAACTTTCTGAAGCTGTTTTTACAAGATATTTTTTGAAGGGCATCCTTAATTTAAAATACACAGCCTTTTGTGCAGGGATTTTCCACATATATACTCATATTTGCTTTTATTTTACTACCTTTGAAAAATATTCCTAGATATGCTTTGGTAGGGAGAGAAAAAAATAAGACCAAAATACTGAAAAGCTGTCACAAGGATCAGTGGTCAGAGAAAAAGTAAAGCATCTGTTTGCAAATAACTGTTTGCAAAATCTTAGTTCTTCAAGAAAATCTTTTTGTTGTTGTTTTTTTAAAGTGGTTTTGGGGACTGTGGATTTCAGGTGAGAGCCAGGACACCTGCCTCTCAAGACGGTTAGCAAGTGAAACAAATCTGGGAACCACTGGGTGATGCCAAGATAAATAGGTTTCTGCTGGCCTCTGTGGACCCTTCAGTAGTCCACTTGTGATCTTGCCCAAACAGAATGGGAACCACTCCTCAGACTGCAGAGGTTGGCGTAGACACAGTGCTAATCGTAAACCCTGGTGCTTCTCAGGCCAGGCTCAAGGAAGCTGAACATCCAGCCACAAATGGATGGTATCATGTGATGAAGAAGCTTCCTGCCCCAAATGCAGATTGCAACCTTCCTAGTTGAATTTTAATATGTGCATAGGTATAAGCATGATCCTAAGTGTTTCAAATTCTGGATTTCCAACTTCTGATATTAATGAAGACTAATGAGGATGACTAATAAGCACTTAAGAGTCACCAAGAGAGGATTAGAGACTATGCCTTTCGGCCAAATCAACATGACATGGAATGTTTGGGAAGATATGAGAGAAACGTGTGGATAGCAGTTCTACCTGAATGACTGCCTTTAATCTCTTTAAATAGGAGCAAGATTTTTACACTGTGGAACTGGAAAGAGGAGCCAAGGGATTTGGCTTTAGTCTTCGAGGGGGTCGAGAATATAACATGGACCTCTATGTTCTGCGCTTAGCAGAGGATGGTCCTGCAGAAAGATGTGGAAAGATGAGGGTAAGTAGGGAAAGGAGGCTGGAGTAGATGTGAGGAAGCATCTGTAGTGACTTACGTTTTTACTGTTGTTGTTGTTGTTTTTAGATATTCATGACAGTAGGGTGTATTTCGACATGTTATACATATATGGAATTCAACCCATTACAATTTTGATTCCATTCTTGTGGCTGAACATGCTGTGGAGTTTCACTGGTCATGTATTCATATATGTGCATAAGAAAATTATGTACGATTCATTGTCTTTCCTGTTCCCATTCCCCCTCCATCTAATTCAATAAACTTCTATACTTCCCCTCCACCCTCCCTTATGATGGGTAAGCATCTGCACATCAGAGAGAACATTCAACCTTTGGTTTGGGGGGACTGAATTATTTCACTTAGTATGAAAGTCTCCAGTTTCCATCCATTTACCAGCAAATGTCATGAACTCACTCTTCTTTATGGCTGAGTAATATCCCATGGTGCATATAGACCACATTTTCTTTATCCATTCATCCATAGAAGGACACCTAGATTGTTTCTGTAGCTTGGCTATTGTGAGTTGAGCTCCACTAAACATTCATGTGGCTATGTCACTGTAGTATGCTGATTTTAAGTCCTTTGGGTATATGAACAAGGAGTGGGATAACTTGGTCAAATGGTGGTTCCATTCAAAGTTTTCTGAGGAATCTCCTTACAAATTTCCAGAGTGGTTGCACCAATTTGCAGTCCCACCAGCAATGTATGAGTGAACCTTTCCCCCAATCCTTGCCAACATTTATTGATAATTGCCATTCTGACTAGAGTGAGATGGAATCTCAGAATAGTTTCAATTTGCATTCCTCTAATTGTTAGAGATGTTAAACATTTTTTCGTATCTGTGTTGACCATTTATATTTCTTTCTTTTTATGACTCTCTATGTTCTATTCCTACCATGGCAGATTGGTGATGAAATTCTAGAGATCAATGGCGAGACCACCAAAAACATGAAGCATTCTCGGGCCATTGAACTGATTAAGAATGGTGGCCGCAGAGTTCGTCTGTTTCTGAGGCGGGGAGACGGCTCGGTCCCGGAATATGGTGGGTCAAACTATGAAAACATTCCTTCCTTCCCTGGCATGACTCCATGACTCTGTCTCCAGAACGGCAGCAGGAAAGTCCTTTCTGTCTCCCCATTCACCAGTGTCTTACAGCCTCTCGCACCATGTGATTATTTGCTTCGCTTGTTCTGAAATCTCTCCACATTTCATCTTTTTGCTTGCTTCTGTGGACTGGGGCAAGGCCTAGGACAAGATCTTTAGAGCCCCCTTTCTGATAATCAGAGAGAACATTTTGTCTAGTCCGACCAAGAGCGAAGGAATGTTTGTTTGAACTGTGCCAAACTGTTTCTCAGATCCAATTGTTAGCACAAAATGACTCTATACTCCTTTTAAGAAGCAGGAAAGCAGGTTTCCTGAGTGATATGATGAGGCACAAATATATATATATATATTTTTCTTTTTTTTCGGTTACTTGATGTCTTTATTTAAGAGGCGTGAAATTTCAAGATGATTTGGGGGCTTTGCTCACCTCCTAGATGCTCTGCGTCCAAAAATTCTCCATCCCTCCACTGGTCTCTGACCCCAAATCAGACCACCTGAGCCCACTACTGTCAAACGAACAAAAACTGTTGACATACTAGCCATATGTTTTTAAGTGATGAAGGACGAAATAGATTCCCAGTGCTCATCATGAGGGAAACATGTTACTATACCTTTCCTATGAGGAAAGCCAGGTTATACGAAGAGTTCCTTTGTCATATCTTTAGACATGATTTGAGTAGACGGCAATGATCTTTACCTAGCTTAGTGTTCTGATGGCAAAATATTGTATATTGTAATAATTCTGTCCTATTTATTTGAGATTCTTGTTTAAAATTTTAAAAAAAGAGAAAAAAAAAAGCTATGCCCTAGATGTAGGGCTTTTTTTTCCCAACCAAAGGTCTACAAAAGTTTCTATAGAAACTGTAATCGAATGATCCCCATATACATTGGTCCCCTTTATTAGGGATTTATCTGTTATCACCCTCTTTTCTGAAAGTCACTCTGCACAATTCCCAGTTGCATTTTTGGACTTCCTTGATGAGATCCTTCATTCAGATGTAGCTCAAGGAGGGGAACAGCTCCCATGCAGGCAGCCTCCCCTGGTGTTGGACATGGGTACAGGTGCACAATATGAGGGATCCCAGGGAATGGGGGAGGGTGGGTTTCAGACAAGGCCCCTTTAGGCCCGGCCAACCACAGGGGAAGTTCATGACGACATTCAGATGACATGGCTGCGTACTGTACTAAACTTCTGACTGTTAGGTGTATTGATGCCACTGAAGCTGTGTAACATTGTCTTCCTTTTCTGTCTTCCCTATGCCTTCTGTCGGATGTGATATTTCATTTGAGAGTCATCGTCAGTAACCTGTGTACCTTCTCCAAACCTATGTCTGTTGCACTGAGGATGAAAATCCAACACTAACAAATGTTCTTTGGGCTAAAAAATAATGATAATAATAATAATAAAGATCATTTAAATACATGGTTTTCCAAAAAGGGTTGAACATTGCCAGGGTTGTGCTGCTGTAATGTTTCCATGCGTCATTTGGACTAAACCTCTCTAATTCTATTGATTAGAGTCACAAATGGGTTATAATATGTTAAGTTCCAATATTTTTCTGACTTGATTGGAACCTGCTTCTCTGTGAGGCTATTTTTGTAATGAGTTTTTGTACTTAATTTAACTGCCGCGGTCTGGGGGGGGGGTTGGGGAGGGACTTTGTTCTTTTGTTGTTTATTGTTAATGCTCTCCTATGCCAGCCTGTCATTGTTCCAGTTGTTTGAAAAAAAAAACAAAAACAAAACAAAAGGATGCATTCATTGTCTGGGTTCTCAAGTCATCTGATGGCTGTCTAAAGACGTACGTCATGTTCCAATTGCGGTCTCTGCAGCCTTATTTGAGTGTTGCCTTAGACTGTCTGACTGGACAAATAAACTCTCTTTGCCCTATGTTAACAAATGCAGATTTTTTTCTTTCCTCCTTGTTATAGGGAATCTAAATGTTCAACTTTTTCTCTTTCTCTCTTTCTCTTTCTCTCTCTGACTGTTCTTGGTGCTGGGCCCTCCCTCCTACAGCGATGATACCTCCTAATATCGCTGCATGTATGAGAAATGAAAAGCTCGGGGAGGCTTGCTTCTACCTTATGGGCCATAATCAAACTACGGTTTGTAGCTCAATCAATACTAGGTGTTTCTGTGCTGTGGCCTAATTTCCTCATTGCTTCTGCTTAGCTCTATTTTGATATGTTTGGCAATTCATTCTGAGCACCCTGCGTTCTTGGAATTGTAAGTACACCGCTGACCCCTGTTGAAGTGTTGCTCTCCCTTGTCTTGAAAGTAGGCATAATAAGATTTCAAGGTTAGATTTAGAATAGTGATCTGAGGACCTTCCCTTACCCAAATGTCAGATGACTTTTGTCTTCATTCTGATAGTCCACCCAGCCTTTAGAAAGAATGATCCTTATACCACAGAGCTCTCACCCAGATAGATAGGGCTTTGCCAGATGGGAAGAGATTCCCCCATTCTTCAGGTATCTCTGGCATTCTACAGCCTAGGGGCCAAATCCTGACCACAGCCTGTGTCTGTAAGTAAGATTTACTGATGCATAGCCACACACCCATTTCTGTTTTGTATTGCCTGTGCTTTTGCCCCACAGTGGCTGGTTTGAACAGTTGCAACAGGGACTGTGGTCCAGAATATTTACTACCTGGCCTTTTAGAAAAACTTTGCTAATCCCTGCTTTAAGTTATGTACCTGCTTTTGCTAAAAGCCATGCTGGGTGTTGGAAGATCTTTCATGAAACATATTAATTGCTGAATAGAAACCTGACTGCCTCATGAAAGATCTTTTAAGAGCCCCAGTGATTCCCTCCTCTCTGTCACATGGGTCTGCCCTCCCTACTGCAACACAATATTTTAGGCTCCTGGAATTTGTTGCATTTAGTTGCAACAAAGCATCCCTGGGCTCTCATAAATTCATGATGCTGCCCTGCTTTTAAACCTATAGACATCTTGGTGGTATAAGAAGCAGTCTATAATAGTGAGATCCATTATGCCATATTCATACATGCATATAATTTGATCACTCTCCTTCCCCAGTCATGTATAATTACAATGTAACAATTTCAAAAGGAAAAAAAAAAGGAGCAGTCCAGTGGCCCCATAGTTCCTCGATATTGTTATGACTGCTTCATATATCATACAGAAAAACTGCCTTTAAACTTAAGGATTTTGTGAGCCCTGTCTAATTGCAAATGTGTAATTAACCACCTCTTTCCCCTTCCCTTTTATCTACCAGAAAGCTCTGCATTTGAAAGATGGTTCCTTATTTTTGAATTTACACAAAAGTAGACAAAATAGTTGAATAGCACACACAAAAGTACAGTTCAGTGGCCCCTCAAGTGCATGTGACATTTGCCAATCAGCACCTGGCCATTCATTATGTTGCTGCCACAATCCCCTTTGCTCAACACCTTGGATTATTGTTTTAAAGTATAAATATTCTTTGCATATGGTAAAAATATGTGAATCCTGAGTGTGTGGTGTATTGGAGTCTTCATCTCTGTGTGCACACATTTAGATCACCACTCAGATAAGCCATAGACTACTTCTGTCCCCCAAGAAGCTTCCTATGCTCCTCCAGGTCAATGTCCTAGATTATTTTTAAGCAAATCAAAACAAGCATTCTTTAAAGGAAAGAAGATTTTCTTTCTTGGGGGCAGTGTAGGGTGGGGAAGAGGAGAAGGGTTGGTAGATGGGGAGGAGAGAGGCAGGGGATAGGTAAGGGGGTGAGGTTTTGGCACCTGTAGACAGACTACCTGGGGTGTGCCTTTAAAGACTAAAGTCATGCCTGATTTAATAAATTCTCTAACGATCTGTCTGGGGTATCAAAAAGAGCCAGATGCTGAAAGCCACAAGTACTAGTTGGTAACCCTAACTAGTTGCAGTTATACATAACGTAACCCAGACTGAGTTGGCTTTGACTCTGATGGCTTTTAACAGTTGTTTGTTGTGACTAATGAGTCGAGCACGGGAGGGAGCGGGGACTGGAACACGCAGGTCCTCCCTACCTAACTAGGCCTCTCCTCTCTCTTCCTCGTAGACCCCAGCAGCGACCGGAACGGCCCCTCCACCGGTGCACAAGGCTTTCCGGAAGTGAGGGCCGGACCGGAAGTGAGGGCCGGACCGTCCGGCCGCCAGCACCCATCATTGGAGTCCAGTTACCCACCCGACGTTCACAAATCATCACCACATGGGGAGAAGCGGGCACACGTGAGAGACCCAAAAGGCAGCCGAGAGTACAGCAGACAACCCAATGAACACCACACCTGGAATGGAACTTCCCGAAAACCCGACGGCGGGGCCTGCCGACCCAAGGACCGGGCGTCCGAGGGACGCCGAGACGCGCAGGCCGAGCGGATGGCGACCAACGGGCCCAAGAGGAGGTCCCCGGAGAAGCGCCGGGACGGCACGCGCAGCGCCGACACCACCCTGGAGAGGAGGGAGAAGCCCGAGAAGAGGCGGGAGGGGTCTCCCGAGCGCCGGCGAGAGCGGTCCCCCACGCGCCGAAGGGACAGCTCGCCCAGCCGGCGGCGGCGGTCCCTCGAAAGACTCCTGGATCCCAGAAGGTCCCCGGAGCGAAGGAGAGTGGCCTCGCCCGAGAGGAGGGCCAAGTCCACCGATCGCAGACGGGCCCGGTCCCCCGAGCGCCGTCGAGAGCGTTCGCTGGACAAAAGGAGCCGAGAGGACCGAGGTGGCCACCGCGAGCGGGAAGAGGCGACTCTGAAACAGGAATTGGGCAGAAGTTCCAGAAATCCCCCGGAGCAGAGGAGGCGACCTTATAAAGAATGTAGCACCGACCTCAGTATCTGAGACACGCATTCCAACCTTTACCATGTCAAAGGTTCTAAGAGGAAGGTCACAAACCTGAGATAATTTAGTTTTCTTACCTTAGGAAGCATCTCTGACACCTGGTGATCCTATGAATAGCTACAAACATTTTATGCATTTGAGATCTTCTAAGAAAAAAAATTATATATGAAAAGTCTTGTGCCTGATGTATAAAAATTAAAGAAAGTATTTTTAAATGCATACTTTTTTTGGAAATTATTTGCCAAATACTGGCCCAAAGGGATATAGATTTTGTTTCTACAGAAGGCGTAGAATTGTCAAGAATTTTTTTTCCCTTTTTTGGGGGGCAATCTTTTTCTCTCCTGTTAAAATGGGGTGGTTGGTCATGTTTCTCTTTAAGGACGGGAAATTATTAAGTTTAATTAATGATCGAGACTGTTATATAGTGGTGTAGTGCTATACTGTAGACAGGAGTTTTTCTTCAAAGCAAAAAGGCAAACTTCTATTTGTAAAAACTGGGGACCTCTTGGGATGAATTAGGATTGCCAATGATCCTAAAAATTAAGCAAACTGTAATGACAAGACTACTATTGCAAATGAAGGATATTTATAGCTTTTTAAACTGCGGCAGCACAAAGAAATTTTTTTTTTGTCCTTGGGTTAGAATTGATTCAAAACAGTTTGTACTCTCTCTGGCCCAGGAAGGCACAGAGACAAGAAGGTTGGCCGCCATTACCCAAACACAGCCTAAGCACAGATTGTCAGGTTCATTAGCATCTCCCCCATGGAATAAGATCTCATTTAAGGCAGTGCCATGGCAGCCTTACTCAACTACTAGAAGGAACAGACAACCTACACCTGTGTTGTCTAGCCGGTGGTCTGATTTGAAGCTGAATATCTGATGGAATGTAGGACAGTGTGCTGGGTATGAGGGAGACATAAATATCACCACGATGAAAAGTATGGCCCCCTTTTTTGCATAGTCCATGATTGCCCTTTGCCAAATTAGGGAGGAAGGAGTGACGTTTGGTGGATGAAATTCTCTTTTGAGAATTTAAAGAAATGACAGCTGGGGCTGCTCATTCATAGAAATGCCAATTGCACTTTGAAACCATAACGTTTTTAGGTTGGTCAAAGGGGAAGCAAGGAAGTGATCCCAGTGGTTCTAGTTCTGGTTGGGAAACCTCTGCCCTCATGACCCTGTCCTTTAGTCTTTGGACAGCAGAACAAAAATAATGATTTTTCTTTTTTACAAGGCCCATTCTTCCTGAAACCCTCAGGTGGTGTGGTTGGGTCGGCTGTAGCCCCAGGATGTGGTTTAAATGGATTACTGCCTAGCTGAGCCAAAACGTTTGCTTGTACCTGTTGGACCACTACAGCAAACCGCTGCTTACAGTGCATTGTGTATTTCTGTAGTACTGTTTTGCATTTTCCGTACAGACACAAAACTTTGCAAGTCAATCACTGTTGTTCCCATGGTACTGTATTGAAAAAAAAATGATTAAAAAAAAAAAGACAGCCAGCCAATCATTGTGTGTACAGAGTTAAAAATTGTAATTAATAGAGCCTGTTGAAAAAAAAATGTTGCCTTTTTTTCTTGTATAAAAGAGAATTTATGACAAAAATTTAGCTGTGAGGAATGTGATATGTGTTTATATTTCTGAATATGAACAAATTGATTCATGGGGATATATTTTAATGTAAACTAAATCAGGTATGTAAAGTTGTTTTAAAATGGAAGACTATATAAGTAATTCTCTAAAGCTTTAGTTGGTTTGGGATATCATCATTTCTTCCATGGTGAGCCTGCTTGTGAATTATTAAGCACTTGTTTGCATTCTCTGTTCTTCACTCATTTATTTCTTACAGTGTGCTATGGACTTAATGCTCTTTCTGTATTGATGAAAAGCAGTATGTGGGCCAATCTTTTTATAAAACACTATGCATATATAAATATTACATTGTTCATAGCTTTATTTGATTTATGGGTTTATACACAACACTAGAATGAATAGCTATAGTAGTGTGGACATTTACAAAACAAGTTCCTTTCCTGGAACAGAAACAATGTACATTCTGTAGCTAAAAAGGAGGGGAAAAGTCTGTGGATGCTATTTTTATTATCCGAGTTTTCCATGCAAAGCTTACATTGAGCTGTAGGAGGAAGACTGAGGAAGAGTACAACTGAATAATGATGTTTTTTCCGTCAATTTCCTAAGAGCCAACTTGGAGATTTTATTCCTAAGGCTGCAGTGCTAGGATTTTTCTCACTAGTTCTAGCACAACCTGAGATGTGAAATGACTGACACTCTCATTTGGGGTCCAGGGTTTTAAATAATTGAAATCAAGGTGCATTTTTGGAGTGTATCCTTAAGTTAACATCTTGACTGTCTTGCTTGTTGTAAGAGATATTTGACATGTTAAAAATCTGTGCTACCGCCCCAGCTTGTCTCAGTTCATGAGGACTTTTGGTGTGGTAATTTCACCTTAGTTCCACACATCAGATTTGCTTTGAAAATATTGTACTGTACAGGGACTATGCATTAAGCAGAAAGATTTAGTTTTCTTTGAACTACTGTAACCTTAAATTGGAAACTGATTCTTGTGAGCCTACTTTCCCTAACACCCCACTCCATGTAAATGTGTTGATGAGCGATGATGGATGAGAATTTTGTATGACTTAAACCATTTAGGAATTCCCCTCCCTCTTTTACACAGTTGATGCCTGAAAGAATGTTGGGGAGCAGAGTCAACACCCTACTTGTATTTTTTAAGTTTCTTTTGTGAAAGATTTTTTAATGCATTTTTACTGTAAAAATACATGGAAATGTATGCATTCCATAACCACTATTGTTTCTGGATTGATATCTTCCTTGTCTCCTCATTGTTTCAGATATATCAGGGTCAAATAATGAGTGGAGGGTGCCTGATTCAAACTCCCTGAAATACCATTCTGTTGAGAAAGGAGTTATGTCTTTGAGATAGAAAAGTGCTTTGCCAGTCTGGCACCGTGGTGCACGCCTGTCATATCAGCTGCTTGGGAGGCTGAGGCAGGAGTATATCTCAAGTTCAAAGCCAGCCTCAGCATAAGTGAGGCCCTAAGCAACTCAGTGAGATCCTGTCTCTAAATAAAATACCAAATAGGGCTGGGATGTGGTTCAGTGATGGAGTGTCCCTGAGTTCAATCCACAGTAAAACTGCCTCCGCCAAAAAAAGAAGTGCCTTGCTATTCAAAGTGTCATCTGTGGATCAGCTGCCTCATCCTCTCTGGAGAGTTTGTTAGAAATGTACAATCTCTAACCCCACTCCAGACCTACAGAGTCAAAATGTGCATTTGGCAAGATCCTCAGCTAACTCATATGCATATGAAAATTTGAACAGCATGGTATAGCATAGAACCTTGGCTCTAAAGCAAATTGTGCCAAGCCAAGAGCTTCATCACTTCCTGTGAGATGTTTGGGAAGGTTTCTCCACCACTTTTAGCCTCCTTTCCTCATCTTGAGAGTGGCAAATCTCGTGGAGTTGGCAAGAATAAGTGCAAAGTGTTCAGCACACCTCCGGCACTCAGATCCTCTGTAAACACTAAAACATTTTTACTGAGGGTTCTCTGTACAGCAATGAGTATTGTACTCTTTTCTTTGTCCTGGCTTGTCAATCAAAATGAAGAAATATATTTTGTCTATTAAAATGAGGAAGAAAGCCTTTTATTTTAATTTAAAATTAACAAATAGTAGGGCTCATGCTACTTCACAGGTATAATTACACTTGCCATTGTTTTGAAATAACAAGCCAAAATTCGATGCTCTGAAAGTCAAAACCAAAATAGTCTCAGAGCAGACTTGGGGAGGTAGATATATAAGTGGAGTTAGACAAACTCCCACATCACACTAGATGAGAAAGCTAGTTCATTAGCATACAATTTAACACTCATCCAGGTTGGATGTGTAGTTGGAAGTAACTCAATTTCCTTCACAGTCTGGTTGGTTTCTTTGTGTGGCTTAGTGGTTGTGGTTTTCCTAAGCTGGTGGACACTCAAAGGGGTATTGTGTTTTAATAGTAGGCCTTCCTACAGCCCATCTCTTTGACTTTATTTTGTCACTGACATGGTAATTATGGACACTGTTCACTTCCCTGAGAATCTCTTTTGTTAAAGATGGCATCTAGAAATGGTCCCTGGCTCAGCCAACAATTGAAAGTATTTCTAAAGCCCTTTCGTGGACAAATCCTTTGCCTGCCATAAATAGCCACAGTAAAATGAGTGTGCTGAATGAGGCTTCATTATAGCTGTCAGGGATTTTTTTTTTTTTCCTGCTGGTAGGCAAACTGAGACCACCTTTGATGATCTGCATTAATCTTGAAAGGAAGAAACTTTTACATTCCTCCAGGTGATGTTTGTTTTGTTTTGTTCTTATGGTGAGCAATATGGGTGTTGAGCCCAATGAGATCCAAGTACTTTGGGAACACACATGACTATCACTTGCAAGAAGGGAACTGACCAAGCTCAGTTTTTTCTGCACAGTGATTTGCAATATATTTTACAGGGTGGTCCTTCTGTGAAACACTGACTTGTTGCCCCCCACAAAGATGTCTCTATGCGTGGTGGATAGAGGTCATTGCAGGGGGCTGTGGGAACAGAAGGGGTACAGCTACATGTCATTAGCACACACATTAAATTTACTGAATCCAAAGCAAAAGACCTCTTTGAAAGCGTATGGAGCAGAGCATGGCAGTGCACACCTGTAATCCATGCAGCTTGGGAGGCTGAGGTAGGAGGATCTCAAGTTCAAAGCCAGTCTCAGCAAATGGGAGGCCCTAAGCAACTCATGAGCCCTTTCTCTAAATAAAATACAAAATAGAGCTGGGGATGTGGCTCCATGGTCGAGTGCCTCTGAGTTTAATCCCCAGTACCCATAATAAAAGAAAAGAAAGAAAGCATATGGACTTGAGCAAAGTGATTTTTACTTTTGCATTTTGTGGTAAAATACTCAAGTATTGCAGGTGACTCTGCCTTTCACTGCATTTGAACTGAAAGTGTTCCTTGTCATGTCCCTGGAGAAAATAACAAGTCATTGTCTATACAACCTGCAGCTTTAAACATCTCCACAGTAAGTGCTCATAAGTATATCCTTCAGGGAATAAATTCTTTCAGTCTCCTAGAATGATAAAAAGAAAGATTGCTAATTCCTATGCCTGTAGTTAGACTTGTGCCTCAATTCTCTCAACACATGTTTATTGAAGACCAACTCTATGCCAGGTGTATGGTGGGACTGGCAATCCTGGTTCCCACTCTGGAGAGCTTATAGTTTGGTGGGAGAAGAAAACACATAACATAAGCACATCCCCAGGGCACAGGGGCCTAGGGCACTCATTAATAGGAGATTTAGCCAGATTGAGGAAAATTGGAATTCAGCTGAGACAGAAGGAAGAGAAGGGGTTAACTGGGGACAGAAGTAGCACATGGTGCAGGCTGAGGGAGAAGCCAAGAGGTGAAGGAGTGTGGTCCAAATGGAAGGATCAGGCCACAGTGGGCCGGGCCAGCTTGTCACCAATTTCAGACTTCAGTAGAGGAGACCA